GTACCAGGGGAAGAGGATGCCCTTCGGCTTGTGCAATGCAACGGCCACTTTTCAAAGACTGATGGCTCAGGCTTTGACGAAAGTGACCAAGAAGTACGGGAATCTCGTGATGTGTTACGTGGATGACGTAGTCATAGCGACACCGACCCTGGAAGACCACATTGATAGGCTCGATGAGGTCTTTGGATGCATGAAAAGAGCAGGATTAAAGTGCAAACCGTCGAAATGTGAAATCCTTAGGGATTCGATAAAGTACCCCGGAAGAATGGTGGATAGGCATGGTGTGAGGCCGGACCCGGAAGCAGTGGAAGCAGTGTTGACATGGATGGCCCCCAGGACGGACACACAGCTCCTGAGCTTCCTAGGGTTTGCCAATTACTACCGAGAATTCATAAAAGGATATGCGGACAAGGTGTATCCGATGCAGAAGCTGATGCGCAACAAAGGGAAAAAGTTCGAATGGAACGATGAGGCACAGGTTGCTTTCGAGAACATAAAGCGGGAACTGTGCGAAGCGCCAGTGCTGGGCATGCCTACAGAAAAGGGCATGTATACTCTCGACACAGACGCATCGGTGGTGGCCATCTCAGGAATCTTGCATCAAGAGCAAGAATGGAACGGAAGAACAGTTCTCCGTCCCATTGCATACGGCAGCAAGGTCTTGAGTGACACAGAGATGAAATATGGCGCACCAAAGGCAGAAATGTTTGCAGTAGTCACCTTCGTGGAAAAGTACCGTGCATACTTGGGGAGCGCTCCCTTCAAGTTACGCGTGGACAACAGAGCGTTATCCTGGTTGAAAACCTACTCGATGGATCAGAGTTATATTGGTAGATGGATAGTAAGATTGGATGGCTACCATATGATAATCGAACATAGGATGCGTGATAAACACCAGAATGCTGACAGCCTCAGCAAGAAAACTGAGTTCTATGAAAGATTGGAGCAGAAGCAGGCCAATCAGGCGGAAATAAAGGAGGGATTCTCGTTTCTGGACAAAGAAACTTATGAAGCGCTTCCCTTAACGAGATGGTTGGATAAGTCTGGACATCCAATTCCAGGGCACCCTGAGTTACCTGTAGAGAAAGCAGCCGAGATAAAGATCCTATCCAAGGAGGACCCGGTCCCCTTGGATCTGTTGCTGCGCTCGAACCTGGTCCAGCAAGAACTCTCTCGCATGAACATAAACAGCCTCTCATTATTGGATAAAACGGTGCAAGTCACACCGCAAGTGATGCGGATGCTGGGTGGATTGTTAGAAAGAGAAGTGACCAGAGATGACCCCGAGTGGACAGCAGCAGTGGCATCGCTAACAGTCAGTGAGAAGGTGAAGATCATGCCGTCCAGACGACAGCACGAAGAGAACGAGAGGGATTGTAGGACAATAGTTCAGCAACTAGTATCCTCAATACCCCAAGAGATTTTAACCAGTACTTCTTACGGACAAAAAGAACAGGGGAGCAGCAAGCGAAAGAAAACCGTCACCTTTGTGGACCGGGATAAAGAGGGTGAAGAGGTAGAACAAAATCTGCTGCAAGACTATTTGTCCGGGGAGAAGGATAATGAGAAGAACCAGCGATCACAAGATCAACACCCGGGACAAGAAAATTTGTCCGGGGAGTCTGAGATAAACGAGAAAATTCCTGATGAGAAACAGGACCTAGAGAACAAGGTTTTGTCCTGGGAGTTCAGATGGATGCAAAGAAAGCACAGACAGGATCTGGAGGAGCGTGCAGTCTCCAGCACAACCTCTTCGACGGAGGATAATTCAGGAAGCTCAGGAATGGACACCTATTCAGACAGGAATTCGAGCTCGGGATCAGAACTGTCAGAACTAGCGATACACACGCTACTAGTGGAAACTCGGGCAAGGAACCTGGACAGAGAGGTGTACCAGGATCCTGACAGCGATCGCTACCTTATACCAAGCGAAAGAGTCTTTGACAACGCAGCGGATGACTTGGAGACAATAGCGGTATCGAAACGCTCGATAAGCCTGTTGCCGCAGAAGGAGGTAGTCAGGACTGATCTTCTGCCGTTTGAACAAGAAACACAACCGTTGGCGAAGATTTGGTGCGTTAAGATGGAAGAAGACACACATCAGCCCAAGGAGCTGAATAGTCAGATGAGGGTCATGAAGACGTACTTGATGGCGAGATACAGACTCTCGGACCTTCTAAGAGCGCAGAGAAATGATCGCATGACAAGCAACCTGAAAGGGTGGATCGAGAATGGTTCTCCGGATAAAGGGGACCTCGAGGAAGATAGTTATCGCATCCTGAGACAATACTTCATGCAGAAGGAAGGGAGGTTATATTTGAACAAGGACGGGATTGTGGCTTGCAAAAGAAGGGAGGAAGACAGAGTCCTATACAAGTATAACGCGAAGGTGTTACCGCAACTCTATCTGACAGAACTTTTATTCAGGTCACATGATCAAATGGGCCATCAGGGGATCGACAAAGTATATCAGAGGATCCTGAAGCGCTTTGAGTGGCCTGGGATGAAAAAGGCATGCGAGAAATGGGTAACAGCATGTCTGTCATGCCAACAGGTCAAGGATCCAAGGAAGTTGCGATTTCCTTTACAATCAATCGAGTCGTCTGAATTCAACGAGGTGGTGCAAATAGATCACCAAAAGATATGCATGACAGACAATGGTTACAATCAGGTGCTGGTCATGATAGATCATTTTACGAAGTATGCAGAGGCCGTGCCCTGCATAACTGCCTCGGCGGAAGAGACATGCGACCACCTGATCAATACGTGGATAGCAAGACATGGTTGTCCGATGACGTTTCAATCGGATAATGGAACGGCTTTCGTAGGAGAGCTTACGAAAGAGCTTATGAGACGCTCACAGGTCGCTCAGGCTCACTCCACGACATACCACCCTCAGACGAATGGCTTAGTGGAAAGACAAAACAGGACGTTAGTGTCGATGCTAAGAGTATATTGTTCCAGGTATATGACCGATTGGGACAGATATCTTCCACAGGTGATGGGAGCATATAATAGCACGCAACACTCCACCACTGGAATCAGTCCACACATGTATGCTAACTGGACACGAAAAGTCTTTACCCTTAACCTTCTTCTACCCAGAATATGAGGGAAAGAAAACGTCCCCACAGGTCTACGTGAGGGATGTGATCAAACGCCAACAGGAGCTGAACGATTTGTGTAGACGAAACACTCAGCAGGCACAGGCAAGGCAGAGGAAAAAATTCGACAAGAAAGCAGCTGGTGCAAAGGCTTACTCGGTGGGAGACTACGTATGGGTATTTCAGAACGTTATACCACCGAAAGGGACAAAGAAGCTCCTAAAAAAGTGGAGGGGACCCTTCATGATTACAGAGGTGCACCAGGACGGACGCTTTTATAGACTGAGTACTGGCCGAGCCGCCCACTACGAGAACATCAAGCCACACAATCCATCGACAGAATACTGGTGTATACCTGCAGACATGGAAGAAGGGGATTATCTAATGATGAATCCTGCTTGTGAGGTCAATGAAAAAGGCACCAGGGAGAAGAACGATGGAAACGAAGTCGTAGAGGAAGGTACGGATACACCGCTGGACCTGGATCCAAACGAACAGATCGAAGCGGACGATGAAACCTTACCCTACGCAGAGGAAGATTGGCAGGATCCCGAACAGATAGAGGTTCCCAAGAACTTGGAACCGGATCTTCCGTTCACCATACAGACTCGTCAGAAAGACGGGATGAGACCAAGAAAGAAATACAATCCTTACGGTGACGACTTTGTAGTGGATAGGATAGATCTAAAGAAGATAGTGGAGGAAGTAGTGGGTCTAGAGGAAATAACTGTGTCACAAGACATTGACATAGTCGATGATCACGACGATGAGTGGGTTGACGACTGGTCGAAACCCGAGGTAGAATTCGACGACGAGCAACAGCAGTCATATGAACAAGGCTTGACGAACCTGCGTGTCTTAGAGTGGCTGAATGAAACGACCTCGGATCCAGAGGAGACCAGCGTCACGATTCAAGACGTAGATCGTGAAAGCATGAAATACATCAAGACCGAACGAGATGATCCTTCCTGGGCTGCCCAGGAAGGACGACTACTCATTCCAGCTTCTAATCTCGACTTGATACCCGGTATGCGATCGAAGGGGACGTCGATGGATATTTTTGTCCGGGGAGTGGGGGTAGGACTTACCCACACTGAAAACTTGATAATAAAAAAATTAAGAATAGCAAGAGAAACAGGAGACTTAGAAGCAGAAACAGGCGAAGAACCTAAGAAACCTGACATAGGCAGGGTAGTTGAGTCATATTTTAACTTACCAAATGAATATTCAAGTAACATAATACTAACAGACAGTGATTTCATACTCACAAACAGAACATGTGCGATAGCAATCACCGCAGACATGAGTTTTAGGACAGCGTTAGCGGCAGATTTTAAGAGAGAATACAAAAACGTGGAATTCCTTTGGAAGCAAAGACCAGGGTCAGGGGGCGTAGCAGCCTTACCTCCGGCGGCGTCGCAGATACCGGGAAAATACTTGTGCTTCTTGGTAATGAGGGCGACGGAGAAGCAGCACGTGGACCCAGAGAACCTAGTCTTGTCCTTGACGAGGCTGAGGGACTTCCTTGTCGAAATGGACGTGAAGGAGCTCTCGCTTCCAAAGTACGATCCAAACAGAGGAAGACTGCATCCTCGAGAATTGTACGCGCTTGTACACGTGATATTCTCTGATACGAATATACAAGTATACCTACACAAGAAATATTACTTAAGTATAGGCTGAGTGATGTCCGAGAGGGTGTTAGGCCAAAGACTAAGTTGTATGTAATATGTGATATGTGTGTTATGTTATGTTATGTTATGTGTTAGGTTATTAAGATCATGGGTAAGTAGGGGTTAGTGACCATGAACAACTAAATGACGATCTTGGGAATAGATCCAAAGTTTGGACTGTCCAATCTTAGGTCGAATTCCAAAATTTTAGAAACCAACTGATTTTAATAAGTTTTAGGATAAATATCTTTTTATCTGAACTGTTTTTAAGCAAATTTTAACGATATATGTTAAGGTGAAACAGACAAGTGTGATATTTGTGACTTCTTTTCTAGATCCTGATTGATCATTTAATAACTCACTTGAGTCAAATATCGAATCGAATCAAATCAAACTTGAAAGAATAGAATGGACAACTTCAACTTGGATGAATTGATGGACCTGGCAGAGGCATATGTAGGACCGATGATAGATGCGATCTATCGTCGGCTGATCGATCGAGACTTCGCTCTGGAGGACCCAGAGGTAGTCATGTTGCTGACCGCCCTGATCAACATCTTGGGGCACGACAACCGTGGGGACCGCCCCACGGAAGTCCTGTTGATGGCAGCATATGGAGAAAGAGGAGTACTAGACCGCCCGAACAAGAGAGTGATGAGGTGGAGAAACGGGGCTCTCTCAGGGAGTGACTTGGCGAATGAGCCTCGATTGGGAATTTCTAGGACTTACCAACCAGGTGAGATGCCAATGCCCTCCAAGCCCAAACCTGGGCTGACGGGAATGCATCGGGAGATGAACAGCGAGGCGACCTCGTCTGGTTCACCACTGAGAGCAGCTGTGCCACCAAAAAGGGCGAAAGTAGCACAGAAGGTTCAGACGAACCAAACCATGCAAGATCTGGACGAGATGAACGATGAGCTGAAAAGTACAAAGAAGGAGCTGGACGAGATGACCAGAAGCATGCTCCAGATGGAGGAAGATCGGGACATGTGGAGAAAGTTGTTTGAAGACTGCAACAAAAAGCAGGGTCAAGAGATTGAGCGCTTGAGGCAGGACTACAAAGAGCGATCGGAGCAGGTGGCGTTGACAACGGCCGTGGAGAAAGTGATACCTGCAAGGGATATTCCTCGTGGGCAGTCCCCGATGGAGCTCTTGACGCCTCGAGAAATGAGTCAAACAACGGAGACAAGGCTCCCAGCAGAGACAAATCGAGTAACGATCCCGGATCCTAGCGACACCTTGGGTGATCCCGTCGTAGAACAGACAGTGAGGAAACTGATAGAGACAGCTGGACGACTGGTCGCTAACAAGAATGCGCCAGGTTCCGGGGTGACTGCACCCTATGGAACGATTGACGATACGGGCAGAGTACGACTCTCCCAGACTCTGATCAGACAGGGGATAAGTGACGTGACACCACTCATGGGGAGCTCGAGAATCCCAGAGAGGAAAGTGCGGAAGATGCCAGCGAAGAAAGTGTCTCGCATAATAGACGTGCAAAAGAATAATCAATTGAAATACAATTTCACGGGAGTTCCGGAGACAGATCCGAGGGCCTGCTTCAATCGAGCTACTTGGAGCCCGGCTGTAAACCTGCAGCAACCACCGCTCGGGACCTCTCATCTGATATTGGGAGACAGCTTAGTCAGAGTGCTGTCGAATTTGAAGTCCTCGTGGGTCACCACGGTGATGGCCTTTGGAGGCGCGACGATAGCCCAATTATATCGGATGGTGGAACTGATGAATCCAGGGAGGATTACCAGTGTGATGATCTTAGTTGGGACGAATGACATCTCCAGAGTATCAGATGAGCAGGAAGCACTATGGGAGTCAATGATGGTGTGTTTGTTTACGACCCTCTGGCAGAAATTCAGTTGCGCGGTACTGACCGTTTGCACTGTGCCAATGAATACGAGAAGCCTTACAGCATCAGGAAGAAGGCACAACGAGGGAGTCGTCAGGTGGAACAACATCTTGAGGAACCTAGCAAGTCGAAACGCCGGAAGAATGATCCTCATGGATATCGAACATGAGTTGAGAGCCATGGATCAGGCCAGACTGACCACGGACGGCATCCACTTCGACAGTATCGAACGACAAGCTTGGTTGAATCGAGTCTTCCAAGAGCGGTTGGACGAGCTGGAAGCAGAACTCTTTGACACAGGAGTGCTGAAGGAAGAAGGAACAGTGAGTGATGCGGTGATTACCACCTTTGTGCCTCCTAGCCTGGAAACACGCTTGGGTACGGTCCCGGCCGTCACGAACTACAAGCAACAAAGCTCCAGCGAACCAGGTCAAAGAACAGACGTACAGGATCGATTGGGAGAAGCACCGATGAGGAGGACCATTCATCCTAGGAGAAGAATAGGACCTGTCAACCCAATCGAAGAGACAGCAGGCACATCTAGATTGGACACTAGATCGGAGACGACAAGTACCAGTCGAGAGGAGAGACCGAGCAGAGGCTCATTGATGTGGTCGAGACCCATACCGTCTCCCTGGCATATATACAAAGACGAACTAATGAAGCTGGATCTTCAGAGAGTAAGCTTCATCGAAGATGCAAGGAGGATGCTGAATGGAGCAATGCTATCCCTCAGCAGATTGTACTCGATAACCGGCGTAGACTGGTTGATAGCCGCTAGCATAAATTTCAGCTCCACGACGGCCTTGAGATTTGCTGACTTGGACGGACTGCCCTCTAACAACAAGATGTTTCCAGTGAATGCGAGACCGTTGCAAGATGTGAGATTGAACCATGATGAGGGGAATCGTGAAGAGAGACCAGGAAGATTCCTGACGACGAGAGCGCCGATTGGACAACACGTGAAGATATTCAGGCAACTGACGACACCACCTGGTCATGTGAAGGAAAGAGTGTACCCAAAACTAGTGAACCAAGATGGTGATGCCCAGAGATATGGCGGATTGACAGCGATAAAGAAAGATGAGACCATCTTCGCCGCCTATGACAAAGCAGAGATGAGGAAGGCCAAGATTATGGTAGTAGCGAATTCAGAGTTCGTGTACACCTCCAAGTCTTTGTTTTGGCCGGACGTCATAATGTTGGCAGCGGTCGACCTGGACCTACTGCAATCAGTATCTTTGGCTATAGGGGTACAAAGGCAGACGGACATGAACCCAATTACGATTGTGTTTGCTGGCATCAATGACCATCTACACAGTAGAGGTTTTCTTAGCAGACTCAGAGATCCTACAACAGCAGAGAACGCAGTATGGCCAGCGATAAAAGACATCCTTGAGTCGATGGGTGAAGTGGTGGATGCGACAAAGGAGGGGTCATTCAATAAAGTGGCACTGAGAGTAGTATTCGCGTTGTCTCGGGGATATGCACATCTCCCGGATGGACTGAAATTCGTGTATGCGATTGTAGCCTTACTTTTGAAGGAAAATATGACGTGATCATATCAGCCCCGAATCGCATGATAGAAATGGAGAACCTGAGGCCACTTAAGGCTGAACTGCCTGCAGTATGGTCAGATATCTCAATTGCGATGAGAGGATTCAAGGACCATGCGCTACACATGTTAGTGTTGGACGAGGTGCTGGGGTTGGAACTGTCCAATTTCAGTCGACAACTCAAACTGAAGCCGGGAATAGACGATGACCATCGAGTGATTGCGGCAATGTCCAACGACTTGTGGTTCCGAGCAATGGAAGTGGCAGGTGAAGACACAAGAAGGAAAAACTCACTAGAGACGAGAGCTCACTTGGAAGCGATGGTTCTGAGAACCAAGCCGGAAGCCAACCAGTGGCTACACCTGAACCCTAGAGTAGCGGCATTGGGTGCAGATGCTTTTGAGCAAGGCCCCGTGATGATCACAAAGATACATGCCTACTTGTTGAAGGAGGTGAACCTGGTGGAAAATGCCGGAGAAAAGACCGCTGAGTTTGTAAACAGAATGTGTCAGATTACTCTGGAAACCTTCGGGACCCAGGAAGTGAAAGGACAGGAGGGCTTTGAAAGGACAGACAGCATGCTAGAAGGGTTGGGAGCCGGATGGACCGCGTCCTTCTTGGCTAAAGTTTACCCGAAAGTCTCGCACTATTTGATAAAAGAATTCCTCCAAGCAGTAGTGAAAGTATCGATAGTGGAACTAATAGCCTTGTTCGTGACATTCGGAGCGGAGAGCTTCGTGAAAGGACCGGCGATGCAGCTCACCGATGGAATCCAGAACCTGCGGCTAGACGGACTTCTGACATTGATTGCAATTACCCACGGAAACTTGGGAGGACTAATGAAACTGGCACGCTGTCCAGAGCAGATGAAAGAGAGAGTGAGGAACTTGGATATAAAGAGATCCACGGACTCGTGGAACAAGATAAGAGACCTGAGACACACTCTTATCCAGTATCTCTTGCAACAAAATTGCTTTGGAACGGGAGAAGACGAGACGATTGAGAGAGAGGAGGATGTTCGTGACAGTGATCTATGGACCAGCAGTCACATTTGCGTTCCCTGACGTTAAAGTGGAAGCATATAGGAGGTCGGTGCTGCACCTGAACCTCATATCGGCAGTGGACGGTAGTACACTGAACTGGTGTGAGCAGCACACATTGCGGGAGCTCATGAGTGAAGATCTGTTATTTGCGAAAATATCGGAGCCAGAGATGACAGTCATCAATTTTGACGATCACTTCCGTGATCGCATGGGAGAAGTAGAAAGAGGCCACATCGAAGTGTTTCCAAAGCTTTGGAATCTGAGACCCTATGATAAAACGAATGGTGAAATAACCAGAGTGCCTCGTTTCACTGCAGCATATTACAAAGTGGGAGAAGAGACGAAGGACTGGGGCGATTACAAGAAGCTGCCGGAGGCAATCCCTGAATTCCCTATGATAAGAAGGATGTTGCTCGGAGCAGTCTCCGTGGTACAAACTCATAGGTTGAGAGCATTCGAAACCAATGAAAGGAGATTAGGGAATTTCGTGGGAACGATGGATCCATACTTTGTAGGGAGAAATGCCGCCGTTTTACAGTACACACGATTTGCATACACGGATCAAGCAACGAGAAGGCGAATAAGCAACGCCGAGACTCCCAAGCCTGGAAGATTTGACGAGGAATGGAAGGGGTTAGGTTTAGCTCCGATGAAGATGAGAGGCAGGACCGAACTGCCTGAAGCCTCATTGATCCTGACTAGTGTAAAACAGGAGATGAGAGTGGGAGGAATACTGCAGACGAGAACCTTCCTAGCACCCTTCGGC